GCCCTCGTGGACATAACTGGAGATATATGTCGGCTTGCTTTGACCTGAGACTGAGCAGGGATTACCAGTTGTGACACAGTAAGCAGTAGTAAAGCTTTCAAAACAACGTCAGTGGAGCTAAGGCATTTAAACCTGACTTTTTGGCTGAAAAAGAAGTATCTTATGACTTAGATAAAGTACTAAGAGAACACACACACAGTTTTAGTTTCATGTTTTTGCTTGTAGAGCTGTAGGCATAGAATCGATTAATCAGTGAAGTCAAAGTTACACTGCACAACTATACTGGTGGAGGGTCCACTACCTACTTGTCTCCCTGGAGATATTGCTTTACTTAGAATGCTCCATGTATGACATTAAACATATACATATAGCATTTATTCATTACGGGCAATTCTGTTGCTCAAAAATACAATAATTCCTTCTGTGAATATTTTTGTAAACTAGTGAGCTAGTGAGCAGTCAAAACTGTCAGGTATGAAAACAAACTCTTGGTCTGTAAAAAGAACCTAAAAACATTGCTGTAACCTTGTTGTATCCTTCGAAATAGTTAGGTTTAATCTACACTGTGGAACATTCTAGACAAAGCAGTAATATTTCCATGGAGACAAGCAGGTGACGGATTCTCCATTAGAAATATTATACAGTACACCTTTCAGCTTCTGTTATACAAATTATTTTATTTGGTTTTTAAGGATTTATAGTAGTGAGTTGGTGACAGTTAAATTAGGGCCTTTTAACAGAAAAATACAGTTCTGTATTTGTAATTTCGACAACTCCTTTGATCTTCTGGGCAATGAAGTTTGGGTCAGATATGAGGTCTGATCATAGAAATACTACATTTTTTGAGACCTTTTATCTTTAGTCACCAAAAATTCCTTTAGTTGACTATAAACTGTCTGTCTGGAAACTATTTCAAATTAACTTAGGGCTTATTAAAGTAAACACAAAGACACTAGACACAATTTTTCTTTACCATGATGAGAAAGCTCCACTCTGGCCTCTGCAAATTGTGAAAAGTGCTCATAAACTCATTATGGTGAAGAATTAAGATGCTCAGAAGTGAAAAATAACTTTGGCCCACCATTTATAATTATGTACAGTGCCTTCAACTTCCAAATGCATTTATAAGCAACAAAAACAACAAAGCAATGAAAATAAGTAGCCTTCAGGAAGAACAGAATGAACCTAATATAATCTTTCATTAATTGTTATGCAGTCAAGAAACCAGTTGCTAATGTTCTGTACTAAGGCACAGACATTACGAACATTAAAGCCTTGAGTCCTGAGCTGTAAAGTGTAATGCAAAGAGCAGAGCACAGTTTAAAACAGACTTGTTAGGATTACAAAGCTTTCCCGTCTCTTCTTGTACAGCTGTGGGCTTCACACACACACAGGTGCAAAGGAATTCAACCCACAACCACAGACACACACCCATTCATCTATGCAGGTGTGTGTGTGTATGAGAATAGCCACTACAGGTGTCCCCTCTTAACCACTGGACCTGTTCCCAGAGTGTACTGTTCCAAAAAGCACCTTTATAATCCGACAGCTTTTAAAATACTGGCACCCGAACAGCGAGCGATTCTTTAACATGTTTTAAAGTTGGAGCTAGTCCTGCAGACATATGAGCCGCTAGCATATAAAACGCTAATGGCATATATGACGTGAGCTGGCATTGAATACTGTAGACATTTATATCTGGAAATGTATACAGAGACTTTGTATAGGTTCTTTGGGTATTTTTGTGGGGAATCAACCAAGGAGAAGAAAACACTAATTGTACTTGAAATAGACAATTACAGAAATTACAGAAATAGACAATAATACAATTAAACTTCCAAAGGCTTTCATCTTTTGCTTAAAAGTACAGTATACCTTTCTGAAGGGGGTACAACACTTGCTTACATGTTATTGCGTACGCCTCGAATGTTCCACAGTATGGCATTATACTCATCTTTCTTGCTATTAAGGGTACACAAAAATACCTTGAAAAAATACTCTGAGCAAGCTTACCACTCTATGGAAGTGAACTGTAACTTGGCTTGGTGAGCTTAATGAGCTAATTTGACTTGGAAAAGCCTCAGTGTTTTTAAAGATGAGGAAGTGGCTTTATAATTATATAAATATTATAGACATATATGATATAAGTCTACTTCCAAACTACTTCACATTTTTTCCTGCAAAAAGTGTTGAAAATTACATTCTATTTTTTATTGTAGATGGCATATTAGAATAAATAAGTAGTAAAACAAATCCTTTATTTTTCCATGAAATGTATCTAAAAAAAATTATTCAAAATTTTATGACCAACCAAACAAAACCTCAAAATCAACATGTATTAATTTCAGCTCCAATAATGCAATTACCCAGCAATAAATGCCATTTAAACTCCAATAAGAATCAATGAGAAACATCAGGCTTGGTATTGCATGTCATAAACAAAACAAAGGCAACCTACATTATTGATTGCTTAGACTACAGAGTGGCACGTCTCCAATTGTTTTTCAACACGAGTTTGGATCAATATGGATGAGTACGTGGGCCTAAACGAAGCCTTCTCCGCTTAGAGACTGGTCCAAATTGACATACTGCCAGGTTGGAATAGGGCTTGGTCGATGGGTATTGTCATCTCCTTCAGATTTATCATGTGTACGGATGCACTGCCATGTCAGATCCTACCAGGGTTTCAACATGTAAGGAGAATATGCCAATAATATGTGATTTATACAGTTGCATATAAGATGGTGAAAGCTATTTTGGAACGTGTCGTTACAAAAAGGAGGCAAAGTCTGATGTGTTGGTTTCTAATGGAGACTAGCAAAACACAAGATGAAATATTTTAGATAGAAGTATTACAATATTGTCCCATACCCTCTTATCATTTAAAAGTGCTTTATGTTTTCTGGTAAGAAGTTCACCACCTGCTTGTCTTCATGGAGTAGTTATTAATTACCTGGAATATTCCACAGTATGGCATTGCACTTATCGATCTTGCATTTATTCAGTTAAAGTGTTTTGAAATGCTAAAAACATACCACCCACTTGTCTGTATGGAGATAGGTGTCCTACTGTGGAACATTCCAAGCTAGTGTTGTCACGACACTAAAATTTCAAACTAGATTTCAGTACTAAGGAATAGACTCGATACCAATTCCGATACCACAATGATAATAAAAAACACTCATTAGACAATAGAAAGTGGTTTTCAACATTAAATAATAGTACTTTTAAATTACCAGGCCGTGTTATATCTGTGTAATCCCTCAGTCATCTAGGTAAGTTCCACAGTTGTCCATGGGTGTATACTAGTCTATGTGCTCTTATACTTGTTCTGATGAAGCTCAAAATCATTCTGAAGCTATTTAGGAAAGTTCAGTTCTGTCCTCTGAATGTGACTTTTTGAGTATCGCTGAAATGAGTATCTAGTTTTGATACTAGTATCTGATTTTCAATACTTTGGACAACCCTGGCAAAGCAATAACATTCCATAGAGACAAGCAGATGGTAGACACTCCTGGAAAAGTTTCATAGTGCACATTTAACTTATATCATTTTGTGCAACCATATAATAAATTGTAAAGTCAATTGTTCCATTATGCATTACATATGAAAATACCATAACTGACCCTTTCTATTGCTGGGACTGCTATTAATAACCCACTTAGCCGTTTTATGGGGGGAAAAACAGGCAAGTTGGTGGAGGTCTAAATAATTACACATGCACACTCGCATTGGAAGTCATAAAGCAGCATTCTGTGGGCACCTGTCTGTCCTGGAGCTCCGAAAGTGTACAAAGGTTAAAGTGTGTGAGTTCTGGCTCCACAGGGCTGTGTCAGAGGGACTATCAGACAGCAGGTGGCTTCAGGACAACAACCTCAGCCTGGATATACAGTGAACCAGAGCCCGATCAATCACATCCACTGGAACAGAAGAAAGTGCAGAGGAAATTAGAGTCCATTACATTTCTGGGGGTTATCAAATATTTATATGATCTCTCCATTATGGTACTCGAGAAATCTCAATGAATCAAATGTATCATAATTATTGTCTCTCTAAGTGAAAGTGTTCATCATGCTTAACCCATTTGCCTTTTCCGGTGGAATGGTATTGTTGTTTATAGAATTCATTTGAGAAGATAGAGTGTTCTATTATAAAACTTTTAACTTAAAGGTTCAATATGCAAGTTTTCAGGTGAGGGGTCTGCCACCTACATCTCTCCATGGAGATGTTATTGCCTGGCCTGGAATGCTTCACAGTATGGCATCAAAGTAACCTATCTGGCATTTGATCAAGTGTTTTAGGTATAAAAATAAAAAATAAAATGGAAAACTATGATTGAGGTCGCATCTTCACGGATCTGACCAGCACAAGATCAGACAAGTTTAATGCCATATTGTGGAACATTTAGAGGCCAAGTAATACCTGTGGAGACAAGGAGGTGGTTGACCCTCCACCATAAAAGTTACACGGGGCACTTTTAATGGTAAATGACCTAATTATGTTTTGGGATGTGAGTGTACGTGTATCTGGATTTTTAAAATTTAGCCTCCAAGTCAAGATTCAAGGATACTAATGATAGACGACTGTTCTACAAGTCAATGACATTTTAAAATATACTACTATAAAATTAATAGACTATGGAAATGAAACGCCACGCTTTGTTTGGAACTTTGCGTAATGCAGTCAATGTTAGCCAAATAGCCTATTTGTCAGACGTAAATATTACTCTCCAGTAGTCTCCGTTTCCATTCAGTGTCCATGAAATTTCACCAGTGTAGTGAAAACATGTAGGCGAAAGAAGCAATTAGTTACTATTTCGTTTAGTGAAGAAAAGCCGCATTGCCACTTTTGGACTTTGAATGCGCTCGTTAATTGTTTTCGGTGTTTTGGGTGTCACGCAAAGTTAGGATGCAGGGGGCGTGAGCTTGATAAACAGGGCGTGGATTTGTCTGGGAGAGGAGTAGTAGTAGGCAAGAGAAGACCAGTGGGGTTTCCTATGGCACCGTGGAGAGCGCACACAGACGCACTGACATCCAATATTCCTCTCGGGGACATCCTCCACAATTTTAAAAGGGAATTCTGCGCTGGAGCAAAGAGGAAGACGAGGAGACGCGGTATGGAGAGCATTATTACGCACGGTTGCTCGCCACCTGTCTTATTACGTTTTGGAAAACTTTGAAATATTACTTTAGCCGGACTTTATCTGATTATGGCACGTTTCTTGCGTTGTGTCTTTACGCCGAGGATCGCCGCTCATGGGATGTAGCGCGTGGACATGTGGGTTCAACTTTGGACACCTGAAGGCGCAGTCCAAGCTGTCCGTCTTCTTTGCCATGATCATTATTTTCATGTACCTTTTTTACTGCTTAAATGGATACTGTGATACCCTACCCAGACCCGTGTACGACCACCAAAGCAATCATCTTCAGAACAGACTACAAGAGGGACATGAAACGGAGTCTGTGTTTGATGCGTACAATGCGTCGTCGCTTGTCAGGGGAAGACTATCAGACTTGGACAATAACATTCAAGCAAATAACATTTCTATAGCTGATAATTATGGGAGTAAAAAGTTTCCCCAAGCTATTATCATAGGAGTGAAGAAGGGAGGAACGCGGGCATTGTTGGAGTTTTTGCGCATCCATCCAGACGTGAGAGCGGTGGGAGCAGAGCCACATTTCTTCGACCGCTTCTACGACAAGGGACTCGAATGGTACAGGTATGTTTACGCCATAAATTAACACGTCTCAGAGGAGTAAAAGCTGAAGACGTTTGAGTCGTAGCTGTCGTTAAATCTGTAAGAATAGACACGGGCAGAGATGGAGGTTGCAAGTTCATGTCATAGGTCACGACTCCAAAAGTAAAAGTTGACAGCTGGAAGATTCTCCTACTAGATATATTTAACTACAATGTATAGATTAAACGTGTTTTATAAAAGAGTTTAAGCTTTAACGTCACTTTTACGCACAGTACCGATGCTTTCTTTCTCTTATACTTCTTGCATATACTTCTGCATATCAATTTCATCCAGGTGCAAATGACTCAAAATACATAAAAAGACAATAGAATAACTTCATCAAAATCTAGAATCGTGTTATTTTATTTTGAAATAGAAAAAATAAGCTTGGCGTTGAAACAAAGTATTCACCCAGCGCCCACAAGTTCATGTTTACTTCAAAATTGTGACAGTTCAGGCAGAAATTAGTTGAGACATGCCCTTGCCGTATTTGCGCTCACATTTTTTGCTTCAAGACATATTCATTCCGCGGTCATATTATCTGGGAATATACTACTGTACGTGCGCTGCTGTCTCTCTGTCCCGTGGTCCTGTGTGTGCTGACCAACCATAGGTCGCTCAGGGCAATGACACCCAGGGCTCTGAACCACAGGGGACCAATGGGATTTATGCTTTGTGTACAATTTTGAGGTGCCCTTTGAGCTCTTGTGTGCAGTCATGAAAAGTTGCAAAATGAGCTGTTTTTTTAAGCTTGGCACCTGTAGACACTCGAGGCGGATTTTCTGGCTTTTACTAAAGGTGTTTGTTAAAGTGAACACTGATATGAACTGTGTGCACAATTTTAAATGCCATAACAGTAATGGTTTTATAGGCTACTTAAGACTTGGCAAACAGGTTTGATAAATTGTTTACATAGGCTATTTTGTTCTATTGTATTCACTGTAATTAGAAGTCAAAGTTTTTTTTGGAGATTGAAGTTAATGGACAGCAGCAAGCAATAACAACTGCCCTAGACTAAACATGACGAATACAGGGCACTAATCTTTGACCTTGGTACAGAAAACGTCTTTATCTACATGGCAGTGCAAGGGGAAAAACATCCTGTTATTAGGGGAAACTATTTTGGAGGCACAGTATTACCTAAAATACACACAATACTCCATCCTCCATCCAAAGAATACATTAAAAAGAATTTGCAAAGTCTACAGACATTTAAGATATAAAATACTTATTACATGAGGTGTATTTGTACAGCTGATGTTAGCAATGTTTGCTGGAATGTTATGACACTGTTGACACAAGTGACATGAAGTGTTCCTTTTGTAATTTCATATGATGTTTTTATGAATTGTTTTGAATGATTTATGATTCGAAAGAGAAACATTTGTTCACATCAAAAAGTAATTGAGCAATATTAGCACCACTATATATTGCAATATGTAAATACTTACTTTTTGGCCTTATATTTATCATGTAAACATTTTCTTTGTAAAAGTGGGTACTTGTGTTGTAATACAATTATTACATTTGTTGGCTGAATAACAAATGTCTATATGGCTAATTATTGACCTATAATAGTACATTCTGTTATTTCTATATTGCAGCTTAGGCCTTTTATTGATAATGTCTATTTTAAAATTATCCTGCTTTATTGTTATTATGTCAGTGGCATAAAGCTGTTTCCATATTATCTTTATCACAGTATTTCTCTGTATCACCATATATATATATATATATATATATATATATATATATATATATATATATATATATATATATATATATATATATATATATATATATATATATATATATATATATATATATATATATATATATATATACACACACACACACACACACATATATATATATATATATAATTTGTTATTAGGCCTACCTACTTGTGCAACAGATCACCTTCTATTATTAACCATATAATTGTTTGAAATGACAATAACTGCACTAAAAGCTTGGAAGTATTTTCTCCAAAAAAGCAGTAAACAAATCTATGTACTTATATTACATCCCCATTGAAGTGATATCAAGAATGGAACCAACATTAGGTCTTATAAAAGCACCACCACAAAAGGCCCTAATACTAACTACTAACTACTAATTGAGTTCTAGTACTCACAGCTACTTTATAAAGCTACCTGGTTTATTGTAGCTAGATGTAAAATGCAAATATTTGCCAGTCCCTATATGTGTTTCCTCATCACCTGTAGTGTAATCCTTCGCTCCTACTCTCCGCCCCTCTCTCTTCATTATCCCTCCGAACCAATAAGATGTAGCATTGATAGCTTCCAGAGGAGACAGTGTATTCAGTCCCCTGCCAATAAATCGCTGTTTATTGAGCTGACACGCTGCCTCCCTAAGTGTCTCCCTGTAGGTCCCTTGGGTGCTCCAGTCACCGGCAAGTTGATCACAGTGGGAGGATGGGCTGCTTTGATGGGTGGGGTCCAAGATGAGGGCGCCTTATTAGATGAGGTTGACAGCATTTTTTTTGGAGAATAGCCTGGAAGAAAACTGAAAAAATTGAAAAAGTTGAAGCTTACAAAAAACCTCTAAAACACATTAATACATTGTTTTCGGTGAATATAGCATTTTAAAAACAATAAAAGGTAGCATGGTGATCTAAATATGTTATGTGTTAGCAGTTTAGACCCCATAGATGTAACACACCCACTTAAATAGTTTTGAGAGTTTGCCACGCCTCCTTTTTAGTTGACAAATTCATCAGCAAGACATGTCTTTAGTCAACCAAAAATTTAGTCTTTAGTCGCCTACAGCCCCAGATAGCATGGACAGTGAGTGCAATGGAACAGGGTAATAACTGGTTCTCAGGGAGGCACAGGTGGGACTGAGCTAAGTGACACTACACATCAAAGCACCATGTGGGTCTGGTTTTGAGTGGTGTTTTTCCAAAAAGGCTAACAAGAAAACCAAAATTCTGAGGTTTTCCTGTTTTGTTTCTTTGTTAGTAGAATGAACTGGTATATGGAGCAGAACTGGTATATGGTGCAGCTTTAGGACTAAGAAGGTGAGCAAGGGCCAAATTGGGTCATGTGGTGGGTGTTATGTGGGCCACTTGAAAACATTTCTCGATACTAAATTTCAAAACAGTCAACTCTGCATATTTGATTCAAGGCTATGAATTGTGTTAAAATAAAAGCTCCAAACCCCATTAACTATGTAATTTATGCTTGTGAATGTTTAAAATGGTGTTTAAACTAACATAAATATTGCAACAACGCTACAATTGCAATATATGATGCAGGACATTTTTGCTCACACTTGAAAACATACCAACCCAATTTTGTGAGGAACACTCGAGTTTATTAAACACCCAAAGTTAAAGTCCATTGCATCTCCTAACACCATTGATTCTACACGTAATTATTCAAACTTTCCATCATCGAGGAACTAACATTTTTTGCCAATTATTACATGGTTCTTTCGCCACTCTCCCCTCACACACTCACGCACTGGTTTTACATGCTAGTTTGAGGTCATTACATTGACTTAAAGATACGATGTAACTTCTAAGCTGATGGGTCTGCTACTCCCTTGTCTCCATGGAGTTATTTCTTTGCCTTGAATGTTCCACAGTTGGACATTAGACATATTTCCCTTGCATTTGTTCAGTTTCAGGTGGTTTATAGCTCAAAAATACAATACCTTAAAAACCTTAACTTAACATTCATTTCCTTAACCATACTTACTACTTTCGTAACCTAACCCCAAACCATACCTTATTAGTTTCTGTGTTGTTGATGGAAAAATACAGGACTTACATCATGGGTACACCTGATACGATAAATACTACATCGACTTCAGGGGTCAGTAGTTATTGATAGTCTGTACTTTTTCTTTGTATTAGTGGAACATTTTTTGTTATTTTTGACTATACAATATGATTGAAGCTGTTAAAAGATTAAATTAATAACTTGTATAACTCATTACAGATGCAGATTGTTTCATTCTACTATTTATTTATTGTAGCTCATGATTTTTTAAACAATACTGCAGTTTTTTTTTTTATTTAAATCTGCTCTTGTGTTATTGTGTCAGTGGCATAAATTAGTTTCAGTATTATCATTTATCATCAGTATTTACTATAGCAATACATCATTCTTCAAAATTTGCTATTGTGACAGTTATGAAGACCTAATTTTGGTGTCTACATCCCCATAATGTGAGTGTGTATACAGATTTGAATCCTCACAATGTGATAAATACATGTCCACACACACACACGCACACACGTCTCCTCGGAACATATTATGAACTGCTTGTTTTGGTTAGCCCCTAATGTGCCGACAGGTCCCGTCAACACCCTCTGAATCGGAGCGGTCTAATGACAGGTCAGGCATTAGCACGGACAGCCAAGGGACCTCCGGACGGCCTGCCAGGGATTAGACCCCTCCGCTGGTTGCAGTTAAACAAGGCTTTATGAAGCATTAGCCTCCCCACCCCATCACTTCATAGCTTTCGGAAAGTTTACAGGACCCAGGGGCTGTGTACGACCAAAAGACAAGCAATAAGACTTACAGGGACACTTATTTTATAGGAGACCTGGGATTGCTTTCTTTTCATGTTATTCTCCACGATGTATGGCCATTAGCTCATGAGGTATAGGAATATTGACGTCATTGGCTGTGTAGTTTGCAGTCCAATAGGTTACTAGGAGTGCAATGAAATCTAGTATTTGTTTCAGTTATAGTGATTTAAGCTGGTACCAAGCCCAGGTAAGAATATATACTATAAATACTATACAAGACAGATGCTGATTTGCTGTAGAAAGTTGAAAGAAAAAATATTTGGCAAACAAATTAAGTTTTTTTATTTAACGGTGCATTGTGTTACTTTTCTGGTAGAGGGTCTGTAAAAGGTGTTTTCTTCAAGAAGATGTTATTGCTTTGTCTGGAATGTTTCACAATATGGTATTGAGCTTTTCTATCCTCATGGAGTCCAAACCA